CTATTATTTTTTAAAATATATTTTTATTGATTTCAGAGAAGAGAGAGGGAAAGAGAAATAGAAACATTAATTATGAGAGCGAATCATTGATCAGCTGCCTCCTGCATGCTCTCTACTAGGGATTGAATGCAAGCATGTGCCCTAACCAGGATTTGAAACATGACCTCCTGGTTCACAGGTTGATGCTCAATCACTGAGTCATGCTGGCTGGGCTCTATTATTTGATACTTCTTTACATTGTACATGTATGACTTGTTAAAAGAATTTTTAAAATGCATTTTCTTGCCTGATTACATATTAGAATTAAACAAAACATTAGAATTAAACAAATATATTCATATAGATTCAAAATGGTAACAAATAAAAACTTATCTACTGTGTTTCCCCGAAAATAAGACATCCTCTGAAAATAATACCTACTTACAGGTTTCCTTCTGAGTGAAATATAAGGCATCCCCCCGAAAATAAGGCCCCCCTAGGCTAAACATGAGAGATTTGGTCCACTGATTCTGAAAGAAATGCAGTCACAAGAAATTCACCAGGAAATTCAGGAATTGGATTGTTATGATGATGTTCCAGAAGATGATAACATGATTGTCATTGAATAAATGAGTAAATTCTTGATACTGTAGGATTCACAGTTTGTCTGGTTTGTGTTGACAACTACAGTACTACCGTACCATATACAGGAAATAAAGTTCCTTTATTTTCATTTAACAATAAATGTGTACCGTATTCTTCTTCATGGAAAAATAAGAAATCCCCTGAAAATAAGACCTAGCGCATCTTGGGGAGCAAAAATTAATATAAAACACTATCTTATTTTTGGGGTAACAGGGTAGGTTTGATAAGTGCCTTTTGTTCTGAAGGGAAGACAAAAATATAAAAGACTGATAATAGTTAACAAAACAAAACAACCTGTCTGGCTGAATGCTAATAATAGTAGGTTTACTTCATGTAGGGGGCTTCTAGATCAACATGAAAAAACAACACATTACTGCACATTCAAAGCAGTACTATTTACTTAGCTGCTCTCAAATGGGAATAAGCAGACATCAGCTATCAAGTTTCTAGGCTGGAAAAATCCATCAAGGCCAATGGACACAGACATAACGGGGACATCACACAGACAGTTCATAAAAATAACTAGTCTAACGTATTTGGAAACTGATGCAGGCTGTCTTTGTGGCTCTGTCAGTTGCTTTTGCTTTATACAGTAACAACTGAAACGCTGTTAGAATTTGGATGCTTCATGAGACATCCAGTACAATAAGCCCTCTATTTTACAGACCTCAATTTAACAGACTTCCAATTTAACAAAATTTCCAGTCCTAATGTCATATATTAAAATTAACATTCTATTAACTTAAAAATGCTTTTAACTAAGATTTGCTTGTGATTAAATCAACAGGGTTCCCCCCCCCCATTAATTCACTGTCATTTTTAACAAATTTTAGCAAACTGGCCATATTTTGGGGAAAACACTGCAGTAATTTCATCAACATATTTACAACTATAGTCTACACAATTAAATAAAAGAGTCTCTGCTCATAAGCAATGTTTGCTAAATTATTAGCAGGTATATTTTGCATGGTAATTGGTTCTGTGGTTCATGGAGTGATTTTCTGCAGCAGCTTTTTAAGCTTTTAAAAATGTTTTTATTGATATTTTAAAAATATATTTTATTGATTTTTTAGCTGCATCCTGCACCCCCCCACTGGGGATATGCCCGCAGCCAAGATATGTGCCCTTGACCAGAATTGAACCCAGGACCTTTCAGTCCACACTTTCAGACCAACACTCTATCCACTGAGCCAAACCGGTTTTGGCTTTTTATTGATTTTTAGAGAGAGAAGAAGTGAAAGAGATAGAGAGATAGAAACATCAATGAGAAACAGCATCCATCAAACATCCTCCTTCTGCATGCCCGTATTGGAGACCAAGCCAAGCAATCCAGGCATGTAGCCTGAATGGAATCAAACCAGTGAACACTTATTTCATGGATTGTTACTCAACTACTTAGCCCATCAGCTGAGCTCTGCAGCAGATTTAATGTGTGCTGGCCAATGTTTCCACATGTGTTAAGCCCCAGCCATGTGCATTTGTTTACTCTTGGTGACTTTTACTAGGCCTATTCAGTATAAATTTAAAATTACAGTAATATATAGAAAATTTTCTGTGAAATTAGACTTTTCATACATATTTTATTTTAATGACACAAGCATGCCTACATAAGGAAAAACAGATAAACTAACTAACTTGTCAGTTTTTTTAAAATAAGTTTTTATTGATTTCAGAGAGGAAGGGAGAGGGAGAGAGAGATAGAAACATCCATGATTAGAGAGAATCATTGATTGACTGCCTCTTGCATGTCCCATACTGGGGACTGAGATCACAACCAGGGCATATGCCTTGACCAGGAATCAAACTGTGGCCTCCTGGTTCATAGGTTGATATTCAACCACTGAGCCATGCTGGCCTGGCTAATTTGTCAATTTTTTAACATGCACATTAGGAAAACCTAGTTTATTATATAAAGACACCCCATCACCCAAATTAGTTCATTATATTGAGGTTTTACTGTATTCACTATAGGGGGAGTACCAATCCTGTGTTATATATGAGTACATAAATTAAACAACCAGAATTCACTCCAATAACCAAAAAGAATGCATCAACTTATTCAGAACTATTTATTGAACACCTTTCACATGCTAAACTTTCTAGAAAATTCAAACATCAGTTTTCTCTGGATTTAAGGATTTCAAAGTCTAGTCATAAATTGATGCTTGTTCAGAACAGATGTATTAGTATTGTATGAGAGATATATATAATTCAAAGATTTAGGGGATGGAGAAAACACTTTCAGCCGGGAAGGCTCTATCAGAGAGGAGGTCATTTGAAATAAGAGTACAATTAGAATAAAACCTTTTAATTAAAGTATTATATATACATAAAAGTGTATATATTATAAAGACTGGAAGCTAACTGAATTTTCACAAACCAAATACACTAGTTATGTAACCAGATGGAATAGTATTATACTCCAGAAGCCCCCTTCTGCCCTTCCAGTCATTCTTGGGGTAGTAGAATTTTGTTAGATGAATGTAGACAGAGAGAAAATTACAGGAGGAGGAGTCAGCATACATAAAGATATAGAAATTAAGACTGTGTTTTGAGAAATGGGCTAAAGTATAATTTGCTTGGAGTGTCAGTTGGTGGACAGGGTTGGGTCCATGTTGTAGTCTTAACAAAAAAGTTATATTGTACTTATTAGGCACTGAAGACCTTTGAGCAAGAGAGAATATTTTGTAAGATTTTTTTTTTAGGATAATTCATAATTTATTGGTAATGTGAGAGGTGAGACTGGAGGTCAGGTGACTGGTTGGGAAGCTTTTATAAAACCCAGATATGAGATAATTTGGTCTCTGCAGGGCAGATGAAGAAAGAGAGCCAACAAAAACTGAATGCCTATGGATCTTGAAGAAGTCCAAGAAAAATTCCTTCTATAAAAGTACTCAAGAGAAAATTGTTATTTACTATTTCTGTCAAGGGTTTACGCAAACTTTGAATGCTGTCTCTCCAAGAGAATTCTAAAAATTTTCTTGCAGTATTTGAATAAAACCTTGTTCTCTAAGGAAATGGGCCTTTCAAACAAAAAGAGTTCTTTATTACTCAGAAATGTGGATTGTTTTTCTTTTCATATGGGTGCATGCTAGAATAAACATTTTGGTGGGAAAAATTGATTTCAAGGAAGACTTTTGAAGATGTCATGTTAACAACAAATTACTGAATGTTTTTCACCTGTTTATTTGTTCTTCCTTCACATTATCCTCATAATCCATATTTCTGGATAGGATACATTCATTTCATTATATATTTTTACCTGTAACGTATTTCTACAAGAGTTAAACGTGTTTTTGGAAGTAAAGGCCATACTATTTTTTTTTTTCTTTGACAGCTTCTTATTTCACTTTGGTTATGAGGGTCATTTTTTATTAACCTCCCTCTCCCCCCCCCCCAACACACACCCATTCCATCTCTCCCTCCAAAGCAGTTAGTTGTTTAAGAAAAATTTTTTCCTTGTTTTCAGAGAGAACAGGAGAGGGAGAGAGAGAAACATCAATGATGAGAGAGAATTATTGATTGGCTGCATCCTGCACATCCCACACTGGGAATCAAGCCTGCAACCCAGGCATGCCCTGACCAGGAATGAACCGTGACGTCCTGGTTCATAGGTTGAGGCTCAACCACTGAGCAAACCCTGCTGAGCCAAAGAGTTATAGGTCTTAACAAATAATTATTGAGCACCTTATCTGTGCTTTGATTTCCTGTAAGGCATTTTAAAGTCTGTTTATTGTCTTTCTACACAACTGGCATCTTATTCCTAGAGCCTATTTGTAGAGTCTTTGATGCGTGTGTCCAGGTACTGGGATTTATGTAGTAAAACATCAGCAGGAGGAGGGAAGTTTCTCTTGAAGGCCAGTGTGTGTACACCTGGAATCCTTTTTGGGACTAGGCAGTAGGAAAGGAAGGGAACTTTATTTGGGAAGAAGCACGTGGGTGGGAAGAAGAGGAGAGTTCTGAAAGAGGAGAGAGGGCGCAGGTTGGACTGAGGCTCCACCACCCAGGTAGCCGGGCGCAGGTGGTCTGGAGCCTGGCTCTAGGGTCTCCCCACGCTGCTAGTGGCCCATCTTCCCGGCTATCCCAGCTGAAGTTGCAAACTTTTCCTCCAGCAGGGAGAGGAAGGGTGTTAAGTGAGTAAGGGAAGTCCCGCCCCCTTCCCGGATTCCAATTGGCCAAGGCCAACCAGACCCCCACCCCTGGCGTGGCCGATTGGCTGCAGCTGCGGGGCGCTGCCGCTGGCCGGAGCGGCCGGCCGCCCGGGCCCTCAGGTGGCAGGTGGGGCCGGGAGCTGCTCCTCCGCGCTCTGCGCTCAGACTGTAAAGCGGACGCGCGGAGCGGGCGCGCCGCGGGAGCGGGAGCGCCCAGCCTTGGCCATGAAGAGCCTCAAGTCCCGCCTGAGGAGACAGGACGCGCCCGGACCGCTGTTGTCCGGCGCCTCCACAAGCGCGGTGAGTGAGTCCCGCCGCCCGCGTGCGTCCCGGGCTCCCGGCGCTCCCTTCCGAGAGTCCTCCCGGCTCCACAGCGCGCGCTCCTCCCGGGGTTTCCCTCAGCGCACCGGCTCCGGCGGCCTGGCGACTCCTCCTCCCCCCGGCCGGGGCTCCGCTTGACCCTGAGACCCTGGACCCTTCCCTCCCGACCGGCCCCTTCCCGCTTCTCTTCCTCAGCTCTCCGAGCTCCTGGCGCTTCGGGATCAAATCGCCCCCCTTCCTCAATCCGGAGTTTCTGGGTGGCCTCCGCCCCGGCCCTTCCTCGGCGCCCCTCGCGCACTGTCCCGGCCCGGTCCGCGGGGTTCTTGGCGGACACCCCTCGGTCGCGGGGTTCGCGCCCGGACTCCGCACCTTCTGAGAGTCAGTCCCAGGGGACTGGGCTGCGTGGCTGGGTGGGTTTTGTCCTGGCCGCTGTCTCCTGTCACTGGGAAAGTTGGATCTCTGACGGAGGCGGATGGAATCGCCAGTAGTTGGGGAGACAGAGCCCCGGGGGTGGCAGCCCTGGAAGTGGTGATGAAACTGGGAAGGTGTTTTCTGTTGGGCCGCGTCTCTCCGCGGGACAGACCTCCGTTCGGTGGGACGGGCAGCCTGGCCTCGGTGCACACGCTGGGAGTACTCAGGGCCTCTCTTCGGTTGGCAGGAGAACAAATCTTGAGAAACAGGCTGTCTGCAGATGTTGGGGTTTAGATAATTCGAAGAATGGCTATAGCATAAAAATTTTATATTATTGAAATAAACATTTAAAAACCTTGAAGAGTTAAAAAAGAAAATATGTGTTTGAACTGTTTAGTTGTCCGTCTTAAGTAATTAAAAGACATATTTTACATAGATTCTTACCAAATGATTATATGCTTTTTATAAGAGCTATTTTAATTAAAATGCTTTTGCTTTAGAGTTAAATCAGAATTTTGCCTTTCCCTCCACCTATTTTTAGGATGGTTTTTCTTGGATTTAAAGGAAATTATGGTGAAACTAGTCTCTTTAATTCCCAATTTTTACGAAAGGAATAGCTTCAGGTGGTATATTTGATGTTTTGATTTTTGTTCTTGTTTATTAAAGCATGAATTTGTTTTAATTCATGGGCATAATAAGAGGGATTACTTTCTTTCACATTATTTTTAAAAATAATTGGAAGAAATGTCGTTTAGTGATTTCACAAGTCAGTATAGTTGAGTTAAAGATTCAACTTCTTTGGAGTACAGGTTGTGTTTTCAGCTTTAGAGATGTATTTTTTTAGGTTTATTTGCTATATTTCCCTTTTTAACTTCACTAAGGATCACATCTGACTTGAAGGTTTAACACCTTAATTGTGTCTTTTTTTTTTCTACTAGAAATTCAGAGTAGTTATTGGTCTTATTAGCATGCCAGTTTGCATTTTATACATTTGAAACATGAAGTGCATCTCGTTGAGCTTAAATCTTTAGCATTTGCTAAACTGAGCATTTTATTATTTTTCTTAAAATAACAGCATAAAGATAATTATATGGTATGAAAAACAGAACCTATCTGATTGGGAAAGTTAACATCTCTCAGTTTAAGTTAAATATTTTGTAAAGTATTGAATTAAAATAAATGAGTGTGAAGACTAATAAAATCAAACCAAGCATTGATAGAAAAATAAATATACAGGAGAATAAGTTCCTTTCTGCTTTTTAGTCTATAAATCATAATCCCTATTGTTAGGTTTAGTCACATAAATGCATATTGTTATGATGGAGCATTACAATGCTGTGATGAATAAGCCTGTATGTATTTCAAGTGTGTGTCTATGTACACTTGTAGGGTCAATTTTTAAAAGTGAAATTGCTGGGTTAAGGAATTTGTGCATTTGTATAGAATGCTGTTGAATTTCCTTTCATGCATCATGTATCCAATGAGTGAGAATTTTTTTTTTTCATGCTTCTGTTTAAAGTCTGTATGGATTTTTGATCTCTGTGAGCCAGATAGGTGAATGTGGTATCTCAGGATAATTAGTATTTCTCTTTTTGACAGTTTTAAGGTCCCTTATGTTTTTTTTTTTTTCTGAGAACAATTTATCCTTTCTATTTTTCTATTGGTTTGTTGTTTTTTTCCTATTTATTTATATATACTTTATTTATATTAGAGAAATTAGTCCCATTAATCTGGATAATCTTTTTGTCTTAATTAGTTGTCTTATGACTATCTTTATGGTGGCATTTGCTATGCAGAAGATGGTTATTTTTATACAATTGAATTTATTAATCTTTTTTTTTGGTAACTTTTAGGTTTATATTATATGTTGATCTTTCCACTCTGCAATATTAAGCAAAAAAGAAAGCCCGTTTTCTTTCAGTTGTTTCATTGTTGTTTGTTTTTTTAACATTTAAAGTTTTGCTCCATCTAGAATTATTCTGGTATAAGGTAAGAGGTATACATTCATCTTCCTTCCTTCCTTCCTTCCTTCCTTCCTTCCTTCCTTCCTTCCTTCCTTCCTTCCTTCCTTCCTTCCTTCCTTCCTTCCTTCCTTCCCCTTTCTTTGCCCCATTGCTACCTGATTGATATCTTAAGACTAATTGTCATGGAAATGTACACAATATGTTCTATACAAATTTGATTTGAGAAAAAAATTTAAAATGCCTATTTTATAAATATTTATATTTAATCTTTTTATCTGGAGACACATTAGAAATAGATTGAGGTATGTGAAATATAGTATGTTAGTTTAAGAGGTAAATTATAATTATATGCAGATTATGTACAGGAAAAATATATTTAAAATATTCAGAATAGTACAAGGGTTATAAAAAACTAGAGGCCCAGTACATGAATTCATGCATTGGTGGGGTCCCTCGGCCTGCAGTGATCTGGGCCGATTGGGGCTGTCTCGCCCAGTCCCAGTCAGGGCTGATCAGGGCAGGCTAGCCTGGGGGAGGGACTGGGGTCGGTTGGCCAGCCTCAGGAGGTTGGCTGTGGGAGTGCATTGAGCTTCTTCCCCTGGTGGTCAGTGCATATCATAGTGACTGGTCGACTGGTTGTTTGATCAATTGGGCATAATATTTCCTTAGGCTTTTATATATAGAGATGCCAATGAGTTTAAAGCTTACTAAATGGATGTGTGTTTGTACACATATAAATAAGCTAGTGGCCCAGTGCACGAAACTCATACAAGGGTAGGGTCCTTAGGCCTGGCCAGTGATCTGAGCCGATCAGGTTCCCGCCTCCCTACCTGTTCCTTCATGGCCCACCTGCACGCTGCCACCACATGGTTACCGCCACACCCCCTTCCCTTTCTCCCTCAGTGGCTGCTACTGCTGATCACCCGCCACATTCCATGCCACCCCTGGTGGCCAGTGCATGTCATAGCAAGCAATCAGCTCCCTATCTCCCCATCGAACTCTCAAAGGAACACTTTGCATATTAGCATTTTATATATATAGATAGTTCACAATTACCATTTGTGGGTAAATACATTTGAGAGTCCTTTACTAACCTCATCTGGAGATACCTCATCTGGAGATAGCTGCCTATTTTAATCCTAAAATAAGACAATTTTTGCTTTTACATTTTTTAAAATTACTAACTAGAGCTTTCGAGTTCTGAAAGGGATAATTAAGTGACTGTAAATGCTATTTTAGATCTAGTCAATTATAGATACAGTCATAACATGTATAATATAATTACGTTCATAATTAAAGTATAGTGAGAATAGGCATGTTCCATTTTTGCCTAGTTCAGATTAGAAAATTTGAGTAATTAAATTAAGGGACTGTCATTCCAGAACTAGTAGTAATACTGTAAACCAATATTGTTAGCAAACATTTTGGAAGAGTTTCCTCTTTAAATTGTACCTATGCTGAACACTCTCGTAGCTGAGTAAATAATTATGTTAAAGTAGTCTACAACCTGGGGTGTTCTGCAATGATTATTTTGCTGCTTTTTTTCTAGACTACTTCAAAATAGTGTAATAAATTTTTTAATTGTAAAACCAAATATGTTCTAAAGTATCTTATTAATGTCTCAGTACCTTGAAAAAATATTGGTAATTCAAAAGGCACTTAGAGTTACAAATACTGCAACTGAAAAAAAATCTTAAAAAAAACTTATTTTGGTTCCTACTAAGAACAGAGGTTTGAGATATTTAGAAAGTGTACAAGATTAAATTTGATTTTGTTTTAGTTGTGATTTGGTGAATAAGGATTTTGTTTTCCACTCAGGAATTCGGTTGTATTTTAAAAGATGCTAATGTCAGTATTATTATAATGATTTTAGGGTAATGTGAATAATTAAGATCACAAATTGTTATGTTTAAAGTCATGATACTTTGGCCCTGGCCAGGTAGTTCAGTTGGTTGGAGCATGTCCAGATGCTCCAGGGCTGCTGTGGGTCCCTGCTCTGAAAGCATGCAGGAATCAACCAATGAATGTGTGGGTGGGTGGGACAATAGATCTGTTTTTCTCTCTCTTCCTCCCTCTCTCTCTCTAAAAAATTAATTTTAAAAACCTAATGATGCTTAATTGAGACTGTTTACTCATTTTTTAAAAAGATATATTTTGTTGATTTTTTTTACAGTCAGGAAATGAGAGGGATAGAAAGTTAGAAACATCAATGAGAAACATCCATCAGCTGCCTCCTGACCCTCCCCTCCCCCCATTGGGGATGTGCCCGAAACCAAGTTAAATGCTCCCGACCGGAATCGAACCTGGGACCCTTCAGTCCCAGGCCAAAGCTTTATCCACTGAGCCAAACCAGTTACAGCATGTTTACTCATTTTTATTGAAGATGCCAACCTTTAATTTAAAATGATTACCTTAAAACTTTATTCAGACAGTTTCTTAGGTTTTTTCCCTACATTGTATTTCTTGTGGTTCTTGAAAGATCACAATCAAGAGGCTTTCTTTTTATACTTTTGGATTTTAAGGTCTTCATGCTGGTTTGAATTGCTAAATCTATAATAAGAAAAGTATAACATGCTAATTAGACCATATGTCTTTCCGGTTGAT